AAGATTTTAAAATAGTTGGCAGATGGGGGTGCCTTAAGCTCGAAAATTGCACAGGTTGAATAAAAAATTAAATGGTAGGATTGAAAAACATTTTATATCCCAATGAAGATTTCTATTTGAAGTGTTTTATTCAATTTAAATGCTTTATATAAAATTCATTCATATGTATATGCATTTTTTGCACCTCTCTTGTATTTTTCAAAAAGAAATCTAAAGATTAATATATTACTTGAACTATAAAAAATGATCCCTTCGCTGAAAGATTTTAGTCTGCAAATCGCAACCAGTAAGTTTTTCAATCAAGTTATAGTAAAATCTTCCAAATACAGAACTCTCTTATCCAAACACAAAACCGAGAGCATCTCGGTACAAGTTTTATCTTTGATCCTTTTGAAATTGGCTTTCCTTTTGTGTTCCAAGTTTATTCAGACAAACGCAGAATGAATGAGAAAAGCAAAGCTTTGTTCGGCAAAATTGAACTGACTATTTCGCGATAGGGTCTGATAACATTAAGCGCGAAACAAAAGTGAAATAAAATCACGGAGAAGACATAAAATAAAACATTGAAATTATTCAAGAGGCACTCAATAAGTTCGGTTTCTTACCCAAGCAAAATGTGAGGAATTTTGCATCAAGGGTCGGTTTAAATAAATGACATTCTTGAATTTTAAAGTAAAAAGTGAAGTGAAAATAAACTGCATAGGATTAAGATGAAAGAATATTACGAATTCGTAATGTTAGATATTCGAAAACACCCTTGGTTGTTTAAAAAAGTTTTAAATACACTGGTGTGCAAAAATTAAGGACGAAGTCGTTAAATTAGCATATCAGCTGAACGAAGAGGCAGAGCGGACAGAAAGACCAATCAGAAGATTAAGTGAGGTGATGTACGGTAGCACATGCGCAGATATGCAGGTAGACGTAATGGGGGAGTGTCTGAGTAGTAAAGCATGTTGTCGGTGTAAGATTAGTATTTCTGGCAAAGAGATTGCACACCGTATAGCAGTTAAAATCACACCGAATTGCTGCCTCAGCGAGAAATGGCGAATAATCAATCTGTTAGACGACATCTGGATGCTTTTACCCGAGGTCGAATCATTGGGAAGTTGGAGGAAGGTCGCAGTGTGACAAGTGTGGCTGCAGAGTTCGGAATTGCTCACAGCATCGTTTCACGACTTTCGAGACAATTTCAAACTACAGGAACAGCTATTCGGGGGTTCAGTAGTGGTCGTCCACGAGGAACCACACCCACAGATGACCGGTATATTGCCTTACAGGCCAGAAGAAACAGGCGGCAGACAGCGGGAGAAATCGCTAGACACACTACACAGGCGACTGGACGACCAATATCGCGTTTTACCGTGGCCAGAAGACTGCACGGTGGTCGTCTGATTGCACGACGCTCTGTACGGTGTGTACCTCTAACGCCTGCCCATGGGAGAAGGCGTTCTCTGTGGTGCCGGGAACACCGGAATTAGAGAGACAATGAATGTGGACGAGTACTCTGTACAGATGAGAGCAGATTCAGTCTGAGTAGCGATTCTCATCGCATACTCATCTGGAGAGAGCGGGGAAGCCGCAATCATCCCTCGAACATCATTGAAAGGGACAGGTATGGAGGTGGCGGTGTTCTCGTTTGGGGAGGCATCATGCTTGGTAGTCGTACAGACCTTCACATCTTCGACGCAGGTTCAGTCAACGGGACCCGTTATTGTAACGAGATTCTTCTTCCATATGTGCGTCTTTTTAGAGGCGCTATGGGTCCACAGTTCCTTTTCATGGACAACAATGCACCATGTCATCGCACAGTAGCTGCCGAACAGCTCTTAGAGAGTGAGGATATTGAACGTATGGTTTGGGCGGCACGATCTCCGGATCTCAATCCCATCGAGCATGTATGGGATTTTCTAGGCAGACGCTTGGCAGCTCATACCTTACCACCATTAACGATTCCGGAGCTTCGATTGGCGCTGCAAGATGAATGGGCAGCAATGCCTCAACAACTCATTGACACCCTCCTTCTCAGCATGGGTAGACGCTGTGAAACCTGCCTAGCAGTCAGGGGAGATCATATCCCCTACTAAAGACCGGATATTTCTTGCTGGACACCCATCACAGGGATGTTTCGGCCTTCAGTCGCATTTGCTTTATTAAAAAGTCGCTCCATGCTACTTTTTCAATAAAGCTTCTTTTTATCCCTCCGATTTCTCTTTTAGTAAGTGTTGCTTACATTACTCATGTCCTTACGTATTGGGGATCTTACGGTATTAAATGTGTTAATTTGGAATGCTTTTGTACAAAGTTATATTGAAAAAACCGTCTCGTCCTTAATTTTTGCACACCAGTGTATTTTGCTTAAATTATAAGGGAATAATACTTTCTGTGTTTTTTTAATTTCATTTATGGAAAAATATTTGATTATATGTAAGAAAAAAAATCCTACTGTATCATATATTCTTTTTTTGCTTAACCCACGGTCACTCGCGCCTGTTTTTGCTACCGTCGTTACTCTCGGGGTGTAGAGAACACCCCAAACTTTTAACACGTGTATTACAGGATGAAAAAAAAATTAAGTCAATTATGATACATATTTATAAAGTACAAGATGTTTTTTGTATTATGCAAATAAAATTATTAAATTTATTGCACACAAATAAGACTAACATTACTTCAAACTAAACCTACAAAATTTTCATTCTAAAACAGATATAATTTTACATTTTTTTCATAAACCACAAGTAAAACGTTTTTCCCAGTAATAAACTTACTTTTTGTTATTAATGTTAAGGATAGAGAAAGTAGAAAACAAATTTTTTAATAATTTTCGAAACATTCAGAGCTTTATTCGTATGCTTTAAGCACATATTTGTTTTACATTGAAAGCAAACACAATTGGTTTTTACATCGTTTACCCGTGAACAAACAGTGCAGCGCCCCTTTTTTGGTGAATTAATGCTCTTTTTACTATCTTCTGTGTCAGTAAAGCTTCTTTTGAATTTTTTGTCAATTATTTATTTCCGTGAAATTATTTGTTGTTTCTTGCTCACAAGTTTCTTCCAATTCTTGTGCCTTACCCATGGGATGAATAGATTGTTCAATCTCTTCTCTTCTTCTTCTGAAATTGCAGTCTTCGAAATCACTTAGATAATCCTCAAAATCTGTCGATACAGTCAGTATCTAATAGATGACCGAGTCACTGTTGCTCTCTTTCCCATGGAATTTTTGCCATAATTTCTGAAAAGTGTTTTAAAAAATTTTAACAAAAAAAAAATATTTTACAATTATTTTAAAGTTTTATATTATTTTTATACTACAATTATTGAAATTTTGAATAAAATATGCATGCATTTTAACATATTTTGAAAAGAAATATTAAAGGAAAGAGTGAAACACTTACCTTATTTTAGATGCTTTGAGTACGAAAATATAACTGAATCACTCGTGGGGAGCTCTCAGCACCCCCAGATAAACTTTTGAAGATCATTATACTTTTCAATCGTCCGAGTCAGAGAGATCGCATCAGGCATGAAGATTCAATGACCTAAAATGTGCAGCTACAGAAAAAATCGCGGTTCTGCGTATTCTTTTTGGAATTCTAGGAAGCGTTTCTTGTTGCTGGGGTGTACAGAGCACCCCAGCATAGGAACCCATGTTAAATTGCTTACGTTTATGTACCTTTTTTTCAGAAACTACTTACTTCTCATAAATAAAACTTTTACATTAGGTTATGTGTGCTACCAATAACACTGTAATGAAGGGTTTTGTCTTTTTATTAAAAATTAAATTAATTATGATTTTTTTTAAATTGTCCAATTTTTCCCTCCCCTAAAATTTAGTTTAAAAAAGTCATATCTAAAAAGATTTGCTAGATATATCTAATTCTCTCCATTAAAATGTGTAAACATGTTAAAAGTCTGCTCACTGAAAATTTGAGGTTTATATGATTAGTAGTTTTTGATAAAAAGGTACATGAAGTGAAAAATATTACATTTGGAGAAAACAGGCTTTGAACTAAAAAATTTGTAATTTTTTGAGCACTTTAATTTTTTTATTACTTTTCAAAAGCATAGGAAGCATTTTTTTACTCTCTACTCATGCAAAAGACTATTCTTATTTTCTTTTTTTCATTATTTTTAATAATTTTGCTTTTTTTTTTATCTTAAGATGCTTTCGTTGGGCTACACGACTTCTACGTGTATCTAGTTTTTTGAAGCATTACACACAGTTATAACTTGGTTCAATATCACAATGTTTTAAGATCATTTATTTTGCTACATGATTCATATTGAACGATGATATAGCCGTAGACCAATACACTTTTCGCTAAGCCCAATACACTCTAATTTTTCCACTTGAACATCATATGGTTTCGCGCTCATCAGAAACTAATGCAAGGGGATACACATGTGCTTCAAGCAGAGTTTGTTTGATGCGCGTCAAGGAGTAACTGCATTTAAAAAATAAATTAAAATACTTCCAATTATCATATTTCCTCATATCATATATCATTTTAAACAAAAATATTTGAACTTTTAAGAAATATAAAAAAGTGGAAATCGATACATTTTCAAAAATTCATGTGCCGGAACCCCTTAATAATTCAGAACGCCACTGTAATGTCAAGCATTTCGTAAGTTTAAAATTATAATTTTGGTATAATAATTTAAGCAAAACGTAGCTATAAAAGAAAAAAAAACGATATTGAATTTTTTTCCCCTTTCAAATGGGGCTGCGGATTGGTAATTGCCAATGTAGACCTAGTACATCCTCCGAGAGCTGGTATCACTTTTTATTGCGGCACCAAAAACGTGGATACTAATTGTCGCAAGGTAATTTTGACACCTAGTTTCCTCACCAGAAGGGGGCACCTGTAATCTGACGATGCGAAATTAGACTGGGAATTTAATTTAGTCGTGAGCACCCAAGTCACAGTTCTTTAACATGCCGCATAATCGTATGACAGGGACGCTGCCAAATTTTTTTACAACAAGAAAATCCACTGACTGGAGCGGGGATCGAACCCGCAAACTCGGACGTATAAAGCCAGCGCCTAACCAACTGTGCCATCCAGCCAGCGTTGTTATAAATATTCAGATCTGCTGTAAAGAAAAAAAAATCAAATTTTCTTAACCTAATGTTATTTTAATATTAATATTATACACCTCACACTGGCAATTTATGCGTTTCAAATGGGTTATGTTCTAATAAACATTC